GCTCTTGCTCAGGCTGGTCTCGAACTCCTGACCTTGAGCGATCCACCCGCCTCGGCCTCCCAGAGTGCTAGGATTACAGGCGTGAGCCACCGCGCCCGGCACTCACCAGTAAATTGAAGGACATGAGCTGTTAACATAACACCTGCTTATCTCTGGAAAGGGCCAACTCATAGTCTTTCAAGTTCTACACTACATGACTACAGGGATTGAAATTTCTATGTGTGAAATGTGGCAGCCCCTTTGCACAGGATAGTAATAAAGGGATGATAACCATTTTGGCCTGCCACTATAATTTGCTGCCCTGAGATTTCCAAATTATGTAGATAACAATAAACCCTCCCCTTTGCTTAAAGTGAGTGAGAATTTTGATGAGACATGAAGCAGAAAAAAAAAGTTTGTAGATGCAATACGATCTCAACTAGATTAAAGATACAAGGTAAAGAAATATACTTAAATGCATAATATGAATAGTTACCTTTGGGTGAGAAAACACAGTCATACTTTCTTACTCTATCTTCTAAAATTAGAACATAATTTTCCTTCATAATGAAAAGTTTGTTTGAGTAGGTATTCAATAAGGAAATAATCAATAGTAATGAATGCTTAAGAGTCACTGAGAATGGGAAAATAATAGATTTAGAAATTATTAAGACATTGATTTTTGAGATGTTGACTTCAGCTGAGTAGTAAGATACATGAAGATCAGGGCGCATAATGAAAAGAATATTGATCTTGAAATCTGAAGATGTAAGTTCATATTGTTCACGTTGACTTAGTTATATGATCTTGGATAAGTCACTTAGCCTCTTCTTTAAAAAGAGCATAATATCTATTTTGCCTACTAACAAAGTTGTTCAGTGACTCATGTGAGATAATGTTTGAGAAAGAAAATTTTTAAGAGCACTATTTTCATCAAACAGTAAATATTAATTGAATTTAAGAGTAAATGAGAAGTAGAGAAATATAGGAAACAACTCTGAAACTTTTTAAAATTTGTTAGGTATACAGATCTATCTATACATGTATACAAAATACATGTCCATTTATGAAAGCTGCCTTTTCTCTTTTTCCTCCTGTTGCCTATAAACGTAATTTGTTAAGATGTTCCCTCCCCTTTCTTTTCTTTTTACATTATTTAATTCATTCACCTAAAATGTTTATCAATAATTATAGCTGATCTACCAGCTCAATCTTAAGAGATGACCCACTGGCTCTATCCCAAACTTCATATTTCAGTTAACAATAAGTCATCCCAATCTAAATAAAGGCAACTAGAATTTGATGTAACATATGGGCTTTCTAGTTCAAATACCTAAATTCAAATTCCAGCTGTGCCATTTTTTAGTTATTTGACCTATACAAGTGACCTGATCTTTCTGTGCTTTTCCTCATCTGTAAAATGAGTTACTATCTCACTCATAGGATTTTTGAGAGGATGAAATGAGTTAATATTGTAAAAATCTCAGAATCATGTCTAGCTTAGTGTAACACCAAATAAATGTGAACAATTATTTATGACAATGATGATGATTATTAAAGATGGTGTCTCACAAGCAATTAAAAACCAACCAATTTTATTCTAAATGCCTATTCTCTATATGGCCAACTTTTTTTTTTTTTTTTTTT